AGCAATCTCTGTGCTTTTGCAAAGTGCTGTGTTAGTTTGTGAGTAATTAAATCCATTCTTAATTAGAGTGGTACTGTTCAGTCATTTATATATGAATTAATGCACATTCAGTTTGTGCACGCTTAGTTGACATGAATATTTACTGATAGTGAAAGAGAAGGAGAAAAAGGATTCGTGTAGCCGACCCCACGTAGTGGGATAAAGGCTTGATGTTGTTGTTGTTGTTGTTGTTGACAGAGAAGGAATAGAAGTGGCTTTCTCCCATACTAAATTTGATCAGAATTTACTTAGTAACCCACCGTTGCTTAGCTTGGTTGGTGGGCGAGAATGGTTAGGAACCTTTTAACCCGTGCTCGATTCCCCTCGAGGGGCAACGTCTCTTAAGTGGAGCCCATTCAAGTGCGGGTCAGGAGGTTTTTGGGGTGAGTGTCTCTTCTAGGTCAGCCAAGGGTGTCAATTTTGGGTCCCGGGTCAGGTTCGGGTTCAGGTCGAACCTGAAACTGACCCGACACTATTCTGGTCAACCCGAACCCCAACCATTTTTGTAAACGGGTCGATTTTTCGGACACGAACCTGACATGCTTTAGGTTCGGGTCAACCCGGCATGCCCTAAACGACCCGGGAACATAAACAATTTGCTAGTTTTCGGGTCATAAAACGGGTCAATCTCCACTTTTCGGTCAAAAACTTGTCGAAAATGGGTCAATCTTGGGTTTTTTGGTCAAAATGATTTTTCGGTTCAAAACGGGTCAATTTTGGGTCAAAGGGTCAACTCGAACCCTTCCCGATTTTGAAACAGGTCAAATTGTTGAACTCGTATCCAACTCGTTTCGGGCCCGGGTTGACCCTAACCCAGAATTTTTGGGTCGGGTTCGAGTCGTGTTTTGGGTCATGTCAAATATTGACATCCCTAAGGTCAGCCAAGGATTAGTCACGCAGCCAAGCGCCCTTTCGCGGTTGGCAGCGGGTGGATATCCCGTTCTAAAAGAAAATCTATATAGTACATATAATATGAATTTTTTTTTCACATTATATATATTAATGATATTTATTACATCATTGACATAACCAAGTAAAAAATAGTATTTCTAGGAAAGAATAAATTATAAAACCATCATGCTTCTTGATATCTGATTAGACGAAAATTTATTGATGTCAGATTATCTGTGCTATTATATCAAGTTTCATCTAAATTACTTGTTATCTTTAACTATTACTCACGGATTTGATTATGATTGAAGCATTTCAATATTGCAATTGCTATTTATTTTTTGAGCGAGAGAGATTTAAATATTTTGCTACTTGGTATATATATATTCAATCCGTTTTATTAGAGTAAATTAAAGTAGGGAGAAATAGAAAGAGGAGGTTCTCCTTTAGCTAGAAAAAGTGAAGAATTGTTTTTTTTTTTTTCCATGATCTTGAAGTTCCATAAAATAAGAGTTTTTGGAGAGGGTGGGGATTATTTTGTGGGATAAACCAAAGTCCATAAAATGGATTTATTTGAAAATACTAGAATGACTAAACTGAAGTGCTCTGGCGATGTGCTGTCGGGGACAGCGGTGCTGGGGCGCTAGAATTCGATGCGTCAATGTTGAGCTCTCTGTTCTACAGTAACTCTAGATTGAACATTCAATGTTGTGGTGTTGGGCACTGAATCAGATTTTTTATATATTTAATATAAATATCCCTCATCACCACCCCATACCCCTCCCTCTTTCATGGAGCTTTTATTATGTACAGAGACCGGACAGGAGAACCGTCCGGTTAAGTACTAGGTACCCAGCAATACCGAGTGCGGGTACCGAGCTGGGTACCCACCAACTTGGTGATGTGGAGCATTTTTATTAGTCTTTGAACGCCCTCAGTACTCCGCACAGAATAATTCTTCCTTTTCATGACTTGGCGGGGAAGAAAAGGGAGAAAGCACATGAGAGAAAAAAACTCTCGAGTATTGCTCATTCGTCATTCCTGTTACAAAGTTTGTTTTGGTCATTATAAATGATCTTTACTCTACTTCTGTTTTTATTTATTCTGAGTTTAGTATATTTCTCTCTCTTGAATTTGGTGAAAGTATAATATCTCTTATTTTACTAAACTTTCCATGAGTAACTTTTGATATGTTATAAATATCGTTATTATGAGCATTTTAACTAGTTTATATTTAGTTTTGATTGGGTGATTTGGTTGATATGATATTTTATATGAAACAAGTTAGGATAATATTGACTATAAAATGATTAGGTGTTACTATACTAAATCTGGATATGAGTTACAAGGCATGGATATGATTATCATTCATTTGGCATAACATATGCTTGAGAGCATAATGCATGCATATGAATAAAATACTTATGATATTGTATAGATCAAATGATTCAATTGATGTAGAAAGACTGTATCATTTTGCATGTGAGCAAGAAAAGCTAACAGCCAACATTATAATTAATATAAGTTTGGTTCTTAAAATGTTGAACCCTATATAGGAGGGTGGTTAGTCGACCTTCTCCTCATTGTCGAACTTTTATCAGATTTCTACCCGACGCCAAATTTATGCCGTTCACCGAACTTTGGTCGGAATTCTATCCGATGCTGAACTTCTCACCGTCGTCGGATTTTCGTTGGACTTCTACCATACGCTGAACTTTTGTCCATCGTTGGACTTTCGTTGGACTTCTACCCAACAACGAACTTCCGCCCGTCACCAGACTTCTTCCAGTCGTCGAACTTCTGCCCGTCGTCGGACTTCTACCCGACGCCGAACTTCCGCCCATTGCCGGAATTCTACCTGTCGCTTGACTTTCGTCAGACTTCTACCATACGCCAAACTTCCACTCGTCATCGGACTTCGTTAGACTTCTACTCGATACTGGACTTTCGCCCGTTGCCAGATTTCTATATGACGTCGAACTTCAGCCCGACTACGGTCCTTCCGACCTCCATCGCCAAATAAAAGTCTTTATTACCTCCGTCGCCCGCCGACTACGGTCTATCCGAACTCTGTCACCAGATAATGTTCTTTCCGACCTCCGTCGCTAGCTAGCTATGATCCTTCCGACCAAACAAACACGTCAACAATGATGCTTCATATTTCCATCATTGAACACACTCTAAATGATGTATATTTGTTACATCAAGCCAAGACCTTCTCTCCAATGAAGGTCTCATTTGTAATCAACTGCAAATACTAGTGGATTCATTCAAATTGGGCTATGCCTCATGATTTTTCCCCATTTTAGAATTTTCTACGTAAAAATCTTGGTGTCCCTTATGAATGATACACCATCCCTCTTATCTGATTGCATGCTCAATCTTCATACAAAACTAAAATGTTAAACTTAATAAACTACACAAAAATTAAAATATTATAAGTGGCTTATTTAATGGGTTACTTAATTGTCACATCATCCAACAATGCTTAATTTTTAAGTGACTAGGACAACTTTAAAATTTATTTAATATAATTCTTTAATAATTAAATTATTTAGTATATTCTATTTAAAGATTTGTACCCAAAATGGCAAAGTCTTCTTCAGTTTATATAAAAATATACAATAATGTACAGTAAAATAAATAATTTGATATCCCTCATTGATTTTAAATTTTATTATATTATACTAATATCAACATAAATTTAAAGATAATTTTGACCAAGTTTTTATCCAAATATCTCGTTTTTTTTTTTTTAATGGTGTAGTTTGGGGATAAAGAATGCAATGTATAATGTATGAAATATAAAAAGTATTTTGAAGTTGTTTGGATGAGTGTAAATGTAAAATGAATACAGTGTTAAGTCCAAAAAGGATTATTGTCGGTGATGGCTAATAGGGGCAGTGGTGGTCGGTTATAGGTCACCGAAGACGCTGTAATGAAGTGTAATTTGACCAAATTTGTATCCAAATATCTAATACAAGAGTTTTTGTTTTTTATCCTTTTTTTAATATTTAGGTCAAGTAAGGCAAACTCACAAACACATCATATATGCAAGATTCAAACCCAAGACCTCTTGATTGATAGCCAAAACTCCCAACCAACATATCCAAATGAGATGCATTTTTGTTTTTAATCTTACAACAAATTTTAAGCATGAAAATGAAGAAAATTAAATAAATTAACCCATTTAATACATAAAGTTTTTTTTTTTTCTTCTTGATGAAATCATGATAATTTAATAAATATAGTTGCATTGATAATTCATTCATCCAATGCAAAGGAAATAGAACTCTCTTTTTCTTACTTATTAAACAACAATTCCAATGCTGGATCAATGAGATCGACCTGCTACATCACTACATGCATTGAGTGAGGGTTCATGGAAGCTCTAATAATGATTATATTGTATAATTTTATAGGATTTAAGTGGTTAAAAACCAAATTATTATATGATAGAATTTTTTTATAATCTATATTGTATCATGTGCGTGATAAGATAAAAACTTCGTTTGGAACAGTTTTTAACCACAATTTATTTGCTATTTCAAGAAATTTTTTTACTCAAAATTTACTTTAGAAAGTAGTGAGAAGACTGTCTCAAACAAAGCCAAAGATACACAAACAAAAAAAAAATCACGAGAGATTAATATTTGGGAACCAATGCAGCGAAAAGTTATAAGGTTGTATTAAAGGGTTCATGTCACGTTGGCTATCGACTACATAAAGCAACTCTACATTTTTTTCATTCAGGAATTAGGATCTGACAACGGCAGCGACAAGCTATAAGGTTAAGTAGATAAAATTCAACAAAGTTTACTTCTGTGGTAATGGGAAAGAAATGTTGTTTCCCAGGAAAAAAAGATGCAAATTGAAACAAGTTCAAGCTTCATAATCACAAACAGTTGGAACCAAAATGAAATACAAAATTTTCTGTTGCTAAGACTAATAGCCACGATCAAGTTGCGATTTATTACAATTCTAATAAAATTTACATTTTAAGTTACAAAAAAAAAAACTTACAGGGTATTGTAATGAATAATGATATGCAGCAGAGAGACCACTTTTACGGAATAAAATAAGTGGCCACCACATTCATATTCTGGGATGAAAAAGTCCTGCAGATCATGAACTGATAACACCAGAGATCCAAGGAACAGCTACGGGTGCTGTTGGGTGGGAATCTCTATAAGTTTCAGAGTACTTGTTTTTGAAATTTAGCCGGGGTTTCTTAGCCTGGATTCATAAAATAAGTTTCAGAAAAAGACAACATCAAAGGAAGATTTTAGTGTATGCATCTCGCATGAATAACTAGATCCCTTCAATCTAGAGGTAGTTGTTGAGAATTTATGTTAATTTGGATATAAAAAAGCTCATAAGTATCTAAAACTCAAAACATATTGATTGTATCTTTCTCAAATCAGATGCAAGGAATTGGAAAGCGGCATAAGTCTCAACATTCGGCTATAACCGCTGCAACTGTTTTAAGAAACAAGCTATGAGTTTGGTATCATCAACAACAAAAACATCAATATTTTATCCCACTATGTGGGGTCGGCTACATGAATTATTTTTCTCCATTATGTTCTATTAAAAGTCAAATTCTCATTTAAATCTAAAATAAAAAGACTATTTCTAATATTTTCGAACCATCGATGGTTGATGTTTCTTGTCATTGTCTTGTCAACCACGGTCACCTTTCTTTCCGATATGTTTGGTGTCCTAAGGCTCTATTGACACTCTCCTAGCTAGAAAATATCTAAGATCAAATACCTTGTACTCTGATACAATTTTTCTATCATGTGCCCCAATAATCAATCGATTCAAGCCACCAAGGTCAAAAAGTCTCGTCAAATATAGAGCCACCTGCTAGGAGTAAGAGAAATAATGATTTCATTCATCATTCACGAGGGTGTTGGACTCATCGCTCCCAACCTAGCACTAAATGATCCATTGACTCGATAGATGGTACCGAAGCCAATGCCATGAGTTTGCACCTCAGCCCATTTCCTTATTCTCAACCAGATGTCATATAGAAACATCGAATACAATGAATTAAAAGAAATGTAATTCATAACATTGAAGACTTCAAAACATCATTTCATTGATAAACTTGCAATGTAAGAGTTGAAATTTTCTAGGTAGGGCCAAAATTACAAAAGAAAACTAAAAGGAAGTACCTAAGGACCTCGGAAACTTGTTAGAGCTTATCTTGTAACAGCTCAAACTCTTAACTATCGAGATATTGTCCACTTTGGCCAGAGAGCCTCACGGTTTTGTCATGTTGGTGTAACTTCCCAGTAGGTCACCTATCCCAGAATTGCTCTAGGATGAGCACGTTTAACTGTGTAGTTTCTTATGAAAATTCTAGCCATTACACCAAAAGACGCCTCGATGTTTAAGAATTAATTTTCTTTTACTTATCTAATGCTAGCCCACTTGTCAACTCCCATGTCCAAGAACAAACATATCCCGCTAGCCAACTTGTTGACTCCCATGTCAAAGAACAAACCTATTTGTTAGCATCCTACAACCAATGATCAAACCTACATGTGCCTTTCCATGGTTGACAACTTTATCCTCCTTGGCTCTTCTTCGTTCCATCTAGTGTCAATGCAACACGCTTAGAGATAGCAGCTATGAGAAATACTTGATGAAAATAATATGAAATAGTAACTCTAGAAATCATGGAAATGGGTTGATGTGAAGCATGACAATATAACAGAAAAAACAATGAAAACATAGAAATAAAATAAAGAAGCAGGGCAAATTGATAAGACAACTACAAAATAATGAAAACATGGCAATTTCAAAGGCGATCATAAAGTCACAACGAAAAATACTTCTAGAGAGCTAGCGTCCTTGTAGGGTTAACAATTTCTATTCCATAAACATATTTCCACTCAAATGTATAACCTCACAACAAAACAGATTTTCACATCTTTTTTAAGCTCGCATATTTTTTATATAATCATACAACGCCATTGGGTTATACATTCAAGCATACAATAAAAACATGCATGGTCATTCATAGTATTGGTGTGGTAAAATGAAATCTACAGTATAATTCCAACCTTAGATGTAGGCACGAAGGTTTGATGTTGGTTGCCTATCTCGCATCATTAATCCTTACAGTAGAAAAGCATTTGAGCAATGCAAGCTACAATTAAAGTAGTCCTCTAAGACCCAAAATTAATAAACTGGTCAAGTAAATATTAATATTTATATAAGTAAAAGATTTAAATAAAATTAGATAATTATTCATTTCCCTGAATAGTTGCTTTCAAAAGATGTGAGAGTGAGAGATCAGTTATCCGGTGGGCCCTCCCTCATTTCTTTATTCCGATTTGTATTTTCACGCAAGTAGTGGAACAACAGGTTTGGGGGGAATTCGGTTACTGTTTACGAAACAGGGAGGAGATCAGCATAGTGAAGCAGAGACTTTGGATTGGAATTGGCGTGTGAGAGCAGTGGTCAGGTGAGAGAATAACAGTCGTGGGAGAGTAATTGCTGTGAGAGAATTTCATCTGTGAGAGATTTGTAGCATTGAGTTCTCGGAGGAGTTAGAAGCAAAACAACTTCTGCTGTGAGTGAAGGGTGACTTATGTAAAGGAAGAAGAAGATGAAAATAGAGAAATTGAGGAAGGAAGGATTTAAGGTAAGTAAATTGGTTATATTACAATGTTATTGTTGTTTTTTAGATTTCCTAATATTAGTAAAAGTTATTAAAAGAAAATTAAATATTTTGTGTAGGAATTCAACTAGTATATGCAGAGGAGATGCTCTGAGATAAGTTATCAAAGGAAAATGGAATGAGGTGTCGGATTTGAGGAGACAACTCATCAAAGAGGTAAGAAATACAATATTAAATTGAAAAAGCAATCATTATTAATTCTAGATACATACAACTTTATTTGACTCAATTGAAGAGATAAATGCATTAATTAAGATGATTCAAATTATTGAATATAAGCATGCATCCAAGTAGTCATGTATAAGCAATCACATGTACATTTACAAAATTATAATTTAAAATAAGATGAAATATGATTGTTTAAAAATTTCCCTAGAGGGTAATATTTTGGAAAGAAGCTCATTACATTATATGTTGCAAGCATATTTCTTTTATGTAAATAGTATAACAGATAGATTTTTACATGATAAAGCAAGTTGAATTACTGATTTTTGAAATCAAATGGATTTCAAAATTAGGAAAGACTGAATATGAAATGATATTATATCTGTGTTACAGGTTGGGTAAAAGGGACCTCGAAAGAGGCAAAAAGGGATCTCTGCAACAACAACAACATCAAGCCTTTATCCCACTACGTGGGGTCGGCTACATGAATCATTTTTCTCCATTGTGTCCTATTAAAAGTCAAATTCTCGTTTAAATCTAATAAAGAAAGGTCATTCCTAATATTTTCTAACCAAGTCTTTTTAGGTCTACCCCTACCTTTCTTAACACAAGTCAAATCTAATACCTCTACTCTCCTAACCGGGTCATCACAAGGCCGCCGTTTTATGTGACCAAACCATCTAAGGTGACTTTCTCTAATCTTATCTTCTACTGGAGCTACTCCAACCTTTTCACGTATATGCTCATTTCGCATCCTATCTCTAAGGGTAAAGCCACTCATCCACCTGAGCATCCTCATCTCTGCCACACTTAACTTAGTATTATGCTTCTCTTTTAAAGGCCAACATTCGGCACCATAAAGCATTGCAGGCCTCACTACCATCTTATAGAATTTTCCCTTAAGTTTGAGGGGTACATTTCTATCACATAACAAGCCCGATGCATTCCTCCACTTCAACCATCCAACTTGAATTCTGCTGATACTATCCCCATCTATTTCACCATCACTCTGAACAATAGATCCAAGATATCTAAAATGTGTACTCTTATTAATGACTTGATCGCTCAAAGTCACAATCCCCTCACTAGGTCTATTACTACTAAAATTACACTCCATATATTCCGTTTTAGATCTACTCAAGCGAAAACCTTTAGACTCTAAGGTTGACCTCCATAATTCAAGTTTACCTTCAACTCCCTCTCTAGTCTTATCAACAAGAAGAATATCATCACCAAAAAGCATACACCAAGGTACCTCCTCTTGCAAATGTCTAGTGAGAACATCCATGACTAAAGCAAAAAGATATGAGCTTAAGGCTGATCCTTGATGTAACCCAACCGAAATAGGGAAATATTTGGTCAATCCACTTTGTGTTTGAACACAAGTAATAGCTCCTGCATACATATCTAAAAAAGGGATCTCTATGTAGTTAAATAATGATAATATCGGATTTACCTGGGCTCTATTAACATTCTTATGAAAGTTAACAATATAAAAAATGATAGCCATAATCTTAAAAGGCTAATTATGATATTTTGTACAGGCTTCAAATAAAACAAAAGATGACTCTGATTATATAATATATTGTTTTGCAAGAACTTATGAGTTTGAATTAATTATTATTTCAAATATGTTATTCCTATAATCTTGCATTTAATTCTTTATTTAAATTATATAACTTTATGAGCTTCATAGCTCACTAGTTTTTATATTGGATGTTATTATAGGAGAAGACAATGAAAAAGTGAAAGCATATTAGACTTAGGTTAATGAATATTTAGATTTATTGTTTAGCAATGTTTATTAGTCTTCATGTGAAGTATATAACCTGTATTTTAATTTTTTAGTGGCTCTGTAATTACTTTTGTGATGCAATTGGGACTATTTAGTTACTTTCGTTTATTTATAAAATATATTGTTCAGTGGATGGAATATACATAAGTGCTCAAATGATTAAAAGTATTAGATGTTGAGAATTATAAATTTTATGTTTTCTCTGTACACTCTGCATTGCTGGTAGGAGAATCGTGGGTTGTTACAAGTCCATTGTCGGCCTATAGCAATTCCTGATGCATGGGCCCATGGGATCTCTTGAGCTAGTGAGAAAGAGTCTGGCATCTAAACTATGGTTACCAAAAAAGAGCTTAAATAAGTAAAAACTTTCCCAAGTCATTGCACATTTGCTCGCCACCAACAGCCCTACAATCACCATTGGATATCACCTCTTAAACAACCAAACATCTTGTCAGAATTCCAGCTAGCCCCTGCCCACCTGCTTGGCTGCTTCTACCCCTACCTCAAACGTGGCTAAATAGAGGAGAGAAGTGAGATGCTAATGTATTTTTGGTGCACGTATGATTTATATAGATTTGTGAAGACAGGGACGGTGGGTATAAGCAAGTTTCTAGGAAACAAATGCACCAAGGATTAAGCTAGATTACAGAAAATAAATCTTTAATCATAGGTAAAAATCTTTGATCAAAGCATATTTTAGCAAAAACTATACTTTCAGGGTCTCAGGGATATCTATGGATTCATCTAGGGAGTAATAAAGAAATTTTAAGTTTCATATCTCAACAAAAAGAAAATCAAATCACTGCCAAAGAACTTTGAATAGGAGTACTAGTAGAACAAGACAATGGTACTAATACATGTGGAAAAGATGAGCATATGCTCCTGGAGTTAAATATCGTTAACAAAATACATAGACGTTTTCTCGAATGGAAAATGGCCAAACCTAAGGTTCGAATCAGTATCAAAGCAATGATAAATGTATATAATCACACTAGCATTGATGATTTCCTGATTATAACAAACAGAAACTGATACAATAACAACAACAACATCAACATCAACTCTTTATCCCACTAACAAACAGAACTAATGTTACACATAAATTCATTTAAGTAGATATGTACTATACTTTCCACATTATGATAACAGCTCCCCGAAGAATTGAACGAGAAACGATTGCCATGCTCTTAAAAGTTTAAAGGCTATTTTACAAAGGAGAAAATCATAGCGTTGCAGATAATTGGCAAGGAAGATAGTAAAGATGAAAGCATTGAAGGGAACCTTGTTTTTAAAAGAAGAAAATAAGCAGTATAGTTTACATGCCTGCTATATCTAATTAGGTCTAGAAAATCAAAAAATAATATTATAGTCTCTTACATGGATTTATTGTTCTTTTCTTAGGAAAAGAAATGCAGCAATGAGTTACTATTGGTGAGCTATCAAATTCAAAGATATGAAATAAATATATAGGGAGTTCTCGTATACCAGGTAGTTATAAGGCTTTAAAATGACTAAAATTTTTTGAAGAAATAATAATGATCATCATCATTAACCTCATCTTAACTATTTGAGGTTGACTTTATGAATCCTCATTTTTCATTTGCTCCTCTTGAGTGCTAAATGAGATGTTAAACCTATATTTATAAATCTTTTTAAATAACTTTAATGAAGTTACCTTAGCACTACCTTTTTTTTCCAAATATTCAACATTGATTTTATATAACCGTATAATAAGTGTATTTTATATCATTTATTGTACATATCCTAACCTCCTATATGTAATTCAATTGTCTTATCTTCAATAGCTACTATTCCATTCAATAGCTACTATTCCAACCATCCCATTAGTATAATCATACATTAACTTATCCTTCGGATAGGAAACACTTGTAGATCGCGAGTATTTCCTATCAATCTTCTCAAAACAGCGAGAATCCTTCACAAAGATCCGCACAAAACCACGAAAACAGTAGATAAGTTGTATTATGTGATGAAAGGAAAATAGAAAATAGCAAGATACAATTGATCCTCTATTCAAGAGGAGGATCGATCTCTCCCAAATCTCTAGACGCCACTAGAGCCCAAAGAAAACCTAAATATAAGATATCTCAAATTTCAACCAAATTCAAGATGCCCTAACCCTAGGAAAACAAAGTATATAATGAATAAAATCAAAAGAAAATCCCTAAACGGTACCTACATTCAAATCTCTCTTAATCCCCCCAAAACACCTTCCTACAATGCTCTGCTTGGGCAGTCGGGCCGCCCGATCTCCACAGGAGGCGGAGATCCAGCGTCAATTGCAAACTGTCAGTCCCGTGCGGACCGGCTGGACCGGTCTAACAATACTCCCCTCCCAAAGATCCACCTTGTCCTCAAGGTGGAAATATGCTCGTATTCCCGCGGAGGTGGCCATCCTTGAGGTGACTCAAAAGCCTTACTGTATTGCTGAACCAAGGGCTGCATGGAAAGAGAAACATCCCCTCCCTCCTCCAATCTGATCGCATCCAACCTGTGTAGTCCCACCAGATAATCTTCCCCCACCTCTTGTATGTCCCTAACTATGGTATTAAGTGATGTCATGACTTTGGATAGCCCTGCATCTCCCATTATAACCACCTTTATCCCATCCACCATTAATTCTATCATGAGTGCTCCCCAATTATCCTTGATTTCCCCTAAGGTTTGCAACCATTTCATCCCCAGGATGACATCAGTGCTTCCTAACTCTAGTGGGAGAAAGTCCTCCCTTACTTGAATCTCCTGATGGTCAACACCACTAATTTACAGATTCCTTGGCCTTCCTCCACCTTCCCTGTACCCATCATCACCCCATAACAATCGGTGTCCACCAATTTCACTACCAGTTGATTGACAACCTGAGTGAAAATGAAATTATGGGTAACCCCACTGTCAATCAAAACAACCACCTCCATGCCTGCTATCTCCCCCTTCACCTTTATCATATGATTCAAGGTGAATCCTACTACTGAATTCAGGGAAACCTTGGCCAGATCCAAATGCAACTTCTCCTCCCTCTCTTCCTTTAACTCCCCCTCACCTCCCTCCTCAGTTTCCTCGTCATCATAGACGGTGAGAACCTGAAGAGTTCGGTCCTTGCATCGATGTCCTAGCATATACTTCTCCTCATACCTGAAACACAAACCCTTTGCCCTCCTCTCTTGTATCTCCTTCTCTGTCAACCTCTTGAAATTTTTCCCACTCCCTCCTCCTACTGGCTTCTCTCTGATAGTCTCATTAATGTTGCTTAGTACATGCCCCTTGGGTGCTAGAAGCGTGGTCCTCGTCCTGTAAGAGCCTCATGAGCTATTGCTCTTAGCTTCCTTCTCTAGATTCTTCTGATTTTCCACCAGCTGGATCAACTTCATGGCCTCCCTTAATTCACGAGGCATCAAAACCTTTACTGCTGCTCAAATCTCTACCTTCAACCCCTTCATGAAGTTCCCCTCCAATACCGTATTTGATAATCGCTTCATCCTACTGACTAGGTGCTCAAATTGCTCCCAGTAGTCTGCTATTCATCCCTCCTGTGCCAGAGCAAAGAACTGCTAATAGAAATCTCCTCCCCGGTCAGTTTGAAAACGTTCTATTATGCAGTCCTTGAATTCCCTCCAGTCCCTGATAGGTCTCATCTGGTCTCTCCACTGGTACCATGACAGTGCCTTTCCCTCCAAATATAGGCTAGCTGTTTGATGGACCGGCTGACCTAGACCCTTGCGGGTCTACAGGAGGCAAAGGGGTGGGGGCGGCCGGTCCGGGTGAGCAAGGGGGAGGGGCGGCCGAACCGGGTGAGCAAGGGGAGGGGTTCACGATGGGCCCCGTGGGCCCACCCACTTGAATCCTTGGGCATCAAGGGGGGCGGCCAGATTTTGGGGGGAAAATGGAGGGTGGATGATGGGGGGCAATTTAGGGATGAAGGGGAAGTTGTGAGATTGTATGAAAAGAGCCATTAGGGTTTATTTGGATCGGGCTCATGTGAAGGCTAAAGCTCTTTTCATTCCTTCTTGTTTTTAGGGTTCTTTGGAGATTTGGTCCTTCTCGAAGTGGACTAGCTTTTTTCTTATGTTTCTTCTTGGAAGATTCAATGCAAGGGTTCTCTGTTTCTTCTTTCATACTCTGTTTTGGTTTACTTTGATTTGGTGGAGAAATTCATCTTTTTGAAGGATAAATTAGGGCAGAAGTCCCCTAAATTTGGGGAAATGTAAGGCGTATCACTGTTGTCAGATTACTCCTCCTCTGTTAGGCCATATGTAACGGCAAAGACCATCTCCCACCTTATAGATCCATCCATCATCATGCACCCTTTCTCCCTGTCAAAAGATAGGCATCTTTCAACTTCCTCACCTTCTCATGCATCTCCCCTATTCCCCCTTATCCTCCATAGTTTCCCTCCCCAACGTGACCTGCCCACCCCACGTCTCCAGGTCTTCCCTGCCCTATCCCATAGCTCAAGCCCCTGAGTTTAATCCTCTTTTCGCTTCAAACCAGCACCTCGGCGACCATAATGTCCCTCCCGCGTTCTCATCAGCACCCCGTTTGGCTTCATCCTCCATACCCATGGTGCTTTCCCATGATCTACCTCCTCTATGCCTCCCTCGGAAAGGCTCCAAATCAGAGATTTTCTCTCTTTCTCCATCCACGATGTCCACCTCTTCTTCTGCGCTACCGAATTTCAAAAAAAAAAAAAAAAAATATATATATATATATTATATTATCATTTAGTCTGTTATTTCCACAAGAAACATATGGAAGAATGGATGATGATATATAATGAAAAAATAAAGACAACGAAATTCCAAGAAAGCAAATGGTAATCATTTGATGAAATGTCAAATATTTAGTCTTAAACCACAATCATTCATGACCTGAAAATCGAACCATTACCTGCTTTAGCCAGCACTCCTGGAATCGATGTTCATAAACATCAGGTGAGTAGCATCCAAACTCTGATGGGCAATATACCCAAATATTGCACTTTGTTTGGCCTAACTTTGCATCATTTGCCTGATCAATGCAAGCCCGACAGCAATCAGCCGCAGTTGCTTTATGATGGGTAAGACCCCATCTGACAGCAGCACCATCATAATCGGTATGAGGTTCTGCATGGCACTCTGGTGGCAGAGGAGGACCAGGAACAGTATCCTCCTCTGTGATCAAATGCAAAAGAAGAATGAATATCATAGGAAACTTTAGAAGAAAAAAAAAACCTATATTTTTCCAGTTAAACCAAGTCAGCAGTGCAAAACTTCGTAATTCCTCTACCAAACATATATAGAAAGATTGATTTTGATCCAGCCAGACTTATGTAAACTCGGTCTTCAGATTGTAAAATGGGAAGAAAATGCAGGTATTTTAGAAAATTACATTACCATACTCAGTTGCATTTTCGGGTCTGTCATTTATCTCATAATTCTTAACAATGGATGGAATCCAAAGCCCAATATCTTCGAGGAGCTTCACCCAATCAGATTCCAAAGCACTTGCAAGCATCTCTGTAAGCAAAAAATGACTTTAAGAGCAAAGAACAACAAGCTTAGAAATGCAGGGAACTGAAAAATGAGGCCTAAATTCCATTACAATTTAAAAGTTCTGTACAAAAAAGGGTAATATAATGTTACATACTTGCTTCTTTTGCAGCCATGCTAGAACCTTCTTCTGAAATTGGTAATATCTGTTTCAAGGCTTTCAACTTCTCAGCATGCCATAATCCAAGAGCTTCTGTCACAATTCAAAAAAGCCTTGCCTAATTAGTTTGATAATTGATACGCTTAAAAGTTAGCAGAGAAAGCCAGCAAGAGGGGAATTTTCAAAAGCTTTTTATTTCCTGAGCCAATACTTGTCCTGTGTGGCAAATTGAGCCGGTAGAATGAGACTCTATCTCAATTGAATAAACATTTTTCAATCTCACGCACACAAATAAGTCAAGCAGAAAGTTTGACCATTAATTAAAAAATCAGTGCAAAGTTGTCCCACTCTAAGCAATCAGAGAAATTTTAGTACAAAGCGACTCATATGCCATTAGAGAAAAGTGACACAAAAGCACAAAAATAGGACCTTAAATGTGTTGGTCATGAAAATTGCAGAAAAATGTAATAGTATAAGTTGTGTCATAAGCAGAGCGATAACATGTCTTGAAGACTGAGATGTTGGGCTTAAAAAAATGGATGTTTTGCGGTCTCGCAAGAGATAGATGCAGCAAAAATATGATTGATGATTGTGATAGCTTAAGTCCAAAAGGGAATGGCTACAATGCAAGCGAACTAGTGGCACAAATATTGTTGAAGATGACTGCAACACAAGAGAAGTTGTGGCGCAAGAATTGAGTGAGATGGTTTTGATGCTATATTCGCTGTGATAAACAAGGGCCGCATGTCTTCAGAGAGAAGATTACAATGCAGATTTTAGTGTGGTGATAGCACTGCAAACAAGGTTGGGGGGCAGATCATAAGAAAGACTACTACAATGCAAGCTAGGTTGTGGAGCAACTTCTGGAGGAGACGTTTGTAATGTTGTCTTCTTTAGCTTCCTTCCACAACAACAACAACAACAACAACATCAAGCCTTTATCCCACTACGTGGGTTCGGCTACATGAATCCTTTTTCTCCATTGTGTCCAATTAAAGGTCAAATTCTCGTTTAAATCTAATAAAGAAAGGTCATTCCTAATATTTTCTAACCAAGTCTTTTTAGGTCTGCCTATATCTTTCTTAACATAAATCAAATCTAATACCTCTACTCTCCTAACCGGGTCATTGGAAGGCCGCCGTTTTATGTGACCAAACCATCTAAGACGACTCTCTCTAATCTTATCTTCTACTGGAGCTACTCCAACCTTTTCACGTATATGCCCATTTCGTATCCTATCTCTAAGGGTAAAGCCACTCATCCACCTGAGCATCCTCATATCTATCACACTTAACTTAGTATTATACTTCTCTTTTCATGGCCAACATTCAGCACCATAAAGCATTGCCGGCCTCACTACCATCATATAGAATTTTCTCTTAAGTTTGAGGGGTACTTTTCTATCACACAACAAGCCCGATGCATTCCTCCACTTCAACCATCCAACTTGAATTCTGCTGATAATATCCCCATCTATTTCACCATCACTCTGAACAATAGGTCCAAGATATCTAAAACGTGTACTCTTATTAATGACTTGATCGCCTAAAGTCACAATCCCCTCACTAGGTCTATTACTACTAAAATTACACTCCATATATTCCGTTTTAGATCTACTCAAGTGAAAACCTATAGTCTCTAATGTTGACCTCCATAATTCAAGTTTACTTTCAACTCCCTCTCTACTCTTATCAACAAGAAGAATATCATCAGCAAAAAGCATACACCAAGGTACATCCTCTTGCAAATGTCTAGTGAGAACATCCATGACTAAAGCAAAAAGATATGGGCTTAAGGCTGATCCTTGATGTAACCCAACCGAAATAGGGAAATACTTGGTCAAACCACCTTGTGTTTGAACACCAGTAATTGTTACGGTTCATACAGAGAGAATGCACAGGATAGAATAGAAAAGCTTACTTATTACAGAGGTTATCTCTATATATATAGAGAAATACAATCCGGTTTACAAGAATAATTAAAGCTGTAAAATGCCACGTGTGTGCTTAACCCAATACTTAACATCTCCCCTCAAACTAATGATGCGAAGTATCAATTAGTTTGTCGGAAAGTTTTGAAAATTGGGATATAGATAAATGTTTTGTAAACAAATCAGCAAGTTGATCCTTAGTACATATATGGTGAATAATGATATGTTGTGCACGTATGCTATCACGGATGAAATGACAATCCACATCAATGTGCTTCGTACGTGCATGGTAAACTGGGTTGTTGGCTAATGCAATGGCAGAGGTATTATCGCAGAAGATAGTGGTAGGAGCAGTGGACGGTAAATGAAAATCCACAAGTAATCTCCGAAGCCAGAGAACTTCGGATGCTTCCGCTGCAAGAGCCCGATATTCTGCCTCTGTCGATGAACGAGCGACCGTCTGCTGCTTTTTGACTTGCCATGAGATGATGGACTTGCCGAGCATATTGCAGGGCAATTAAAATAAAAACACGAATGGTAGCAATTTTAGCAACAGGGCTAAACGTTTCTTGATAATCAATACCGTATTCTTGATTGAACCCCTTTGCAACAAGGCGAGCTTTATATCTGGAAATTGAACCGTCTGAGCGAAACTTTGTGCGGAACATCCATTTACAGCCCAATACATTCTGCTGTGGCATTGGAGGAACTAAATCCCACGTACCTTGAATCTGAAGAGCTTGAAACTCTTGGGACATAGCACTTCGCCAATGTTCATCTTTAATAGCCTGAGCAAAAGTAGTAGGATCGGTCGGTTGAATCATATGAGCCAGATCAAATATTTGTTTTGGCCTTGAATTCACAGTTTTGGAACGGGTTAGCATAGGATGAACAGCCTGCACGTTAGTGTTACAATCGGGAATGGCAGAAGGCATAACGTGGGAAGAAACCGAACCAGAGGTGCTGTCAGAGAAATCAGCGGAAGAAATAAATTCAGGTCTATGCGTGTTGGCAGGATTAGGAGGCTGAAGTTGAGTAGTAGAACAAGGAAGATTTGATGACAAAGGGCTGGTGGGTACAAGAAGTAAAGGGGGAAGGTGAGACGTTGGATTAGAAGCAGCTGTAGAATGTGAGGTTAGATTTTGATAAGGAAAAACAGCTTCATTGAAAACAACATTACACGAAGTGTAGATGCGATTTGTGGTTGGGTCAAGACAACGATAGCCTTTTTGGAGAGGGGCATAACCAATGAAGACGCACGGATAGGAGAGGGGCGAGAGTTTATTATTAGAATATGGTTTGAGCCAGGGATAACAAAGGCTACCAAAAACTTTGAGATGAGTATAAACGGGCTGTTTGTTAAAGAGCAGTTCATGGGGGGATTTATTTGAGGTAGTAGAAGACGGAAGTTGATTTATAAGGTAAGCAGATGTCATAAGAGCATCCACCCAAAAAATTTGAGGAAGAGAGGCTTCAATCATTAAAGTGCGACTGGTTTCAATCAAGTGCCGATGCTTACGCTCGGCAACACCATTTTGAAATGGTGAATGAGGGCAAGTGTATTGATGTATAATGCCAAGGTTCGTAAGAAAAGTATCAAAGCGTTTATTGCAAAATTCACCACCACCATCGGTTCGAAAAGTTTTAATGTGCATTTTGAATTGACAATTTACCATCTTGTTAAATTCAAGAAACTTCGTAAACACATCAGATTTATGAAATAGCGGATAAACCCAAGTATATCTAGTAAAATCATCAATGAAAGAAACATAATACCGGTATCCAAAACACGAAGTAACGGGGGACGGACCCCAAACATCAGAATGCACGAGAGAAAACGGTTTAGAAGTAACAGAATTAGAACTAATAGTGGGCAACCGATGGCTTTTGGCCATGCAACAAGCATTACAAGTAGAATGTTTAGAAGAAATGGAAATGTGCTGAACAGTGTTAGCTAAACTATGTAAGATGCGAGCGGACGGGTGTCCAAGTCGACGATGCCAGAGATCAGGAACCGGCTGGACCGAAAGAAGCGCCAGATTGCTGGTATTCGAGTGTCGTGACGAACGAACTTGAACCGGGTAGAGACCATTAATACATGGACCCGTGAGCAGAGTTCGATGGGTCTTCAGATCCTTAATAGCATAACCATTAGAAGAGAAGGTTATAGCACAGTTGTTATCAGTAGTAAGGCGATGAACAGATAATAAATTGAAAGATAAATTTGGAACTAGATTTAGCTGAGATAGGCGAATAGTACCTTGAGGGGTCGGTAGTATACCTTTACCTGTAGAATGAATTGGAAGAGATTGACCGTTCCCGATGACCACCTGATTTGTGCCATTGTATGGCTGAGTTGATTGGAAATGAGAGGAATCCGACGTTAGGTGAGACGATGCGCCACTGTCAAGAAACCAGTCCTGTTGAGGAGAGCTGGACGTAGCGGTGTACAAGGCAGTGTTCGGTGGATCGGTCGTATACTGATCATCATGTCTGTACCAACATTTGATAGCCGAATGCCCAAATTTGCCACAAATTTGGCAAGTGACAGAATTCTTGGAGGATCGAGCATTCCGATTGCTGTTGGTATTATTATTGTTGGTGTTATTGGTTGGCGGACGAGCTTGAGACAATTGGCGGCCACGGTTTTGATTTGAGCGACCACGACCACGACTTCTGGTTGCCGCTAACGCCACTGTGGATCCCGAAAGTTGCAGCGATTGCATTTCGCGGGTGGCTTCATGAGCAAGATTTAGCTCTTCGCTACATAATAAGGTGTATAGGTCATCAAGAGTAAGCGGTTGAAGATTGGTGCGGATGGAGGTTTTAAAGGCTTGATAAGCCGGTGAGAGACCATCCAGTGTATAGTGAATAATGTCTTCAACGGCGAGTGGGGCTCCAGCGGCAGTGAGGGCATCAACCTTAGTTTTGACCTCAAGAAGGTATTGGGACATTGACTTGTCTTTCATGGATAGGTAATGCAACTCATGTTTCAGCTGGATAATGCGAGAGCGCGTGCTTGATTGCAGTCTCCGATCAAGAACCGACCAGATGTCGGCACAATGTGTTTCGGAGAGAACATAGGGAAGAATGGAAGACGAAATTACCGAGTAGAGTGCGGCAGCAAGATTTTGATCTAAGAGGCGCCATATTGCGTATTTAGGATTGGGAATTTGCAGGCCAGTATTGTCGGAAATGAGATTTGGCGGAGCCGGTATAGTTCCATTCAAGAACCCTTCATAGCCATTTGCAGAGAAGAGTTTGAGGACCTGAGATCTCCAAAGAGGATGATTATCAGCGGACAGGGGTTGAGCAACGATGTTCTTGATGTTTCCCATCAAGAACTTGAGAGACGCAGGAATCTGTGGAGACTCCAGAGTCGAAGTCGAGATCTCCGGCGTGTTTTGATCTGTGGACGCCGTAGACGACGATTGAGCCATGAAAGAACGAAGAAGTTGAAGAAACGAGGGAAACGAAGAAAATTTTAGAATAGGGACCGAAGCTGCTCTGATACCATGTTACGGTTCATACAGAGAGAATGCACAGGATAGAATAGAAAAGCTTACTTATTACAGAGGTTATCTCTATATATATAGAGAAATACAATCCGGTTTACTTCATCTCCTAAGTATTTCCACACCTCTATTGGAATATCATCAGTTAATGGATTTTAAGGGGAATGATTGTGTCGTAAATAAATGGCGCAGCACAAATTTTGTGAGATACAACTATGAAAAGTGAAAATTGTGGTGTGAGTCTGTAAAGAAACTATAGTGGAGCAAGCAAGGTTATAGTGTAGGTCTTGATGGAGATGCTCATGACATAGCACTTGGTGCAAGCAGGGAAATGGTGCACGTGTGGTTGCGACACATATTTGGAGAGAGATAGTTATGGTGCAAGTGAGGTTATGATGCAGGAGATGGTTGCGGCATAAGTTCTAGGTGTAATCATATCTTCATTTGGCAAACATTAATGCTATCAAGACCATCCCACTCGGCTATGATAATGGCGGGTTGGTTTTCGATGGGGAAGAGCATTATTTGGCCTTCAGGTGTTAACAGGCCATCCATGACCTATTTTTTGCAATTTTGGTGTTCACATACTTGGCAAGAAGTGCAAAATCTAGTGACCAAGTTTTCGCATCATTCTAAGTTTTTAAGTTCTCGATTTGATTTTTTCGAATAAATTGAACACAATTTAAATCCTTCTAAATTGATATGAGATTTGTATTTTGCATAAAAAAAAATTTGCTTGATAAAATAGAGATTTTTTTTTTATCCCAACTATTCTCAAGAAAGACATGAAGGCGTGTAAGTTTAATACATTTCAATTATTTTGGTGAAGGCAATAATTTTGTCACTGGTAGATGGCCTAAAGATTCTTCTCAGAATAATCACGGCAAATACAAAAATGTAGAGTTTTATTTTTCTAACGAAAAAGGTATTTGGTTAAGGACAAAGGAGATTGCTTTTTGTTCAATAGTATGTTGATGGCTTTGCCACATGTATGGGAAAACCTAATTTTTGATGGTTGCCACATGTATGTTTTGCCACACTTAAGTTAAAAAAGGTATACAATGAAAGTAAAAAGGATTGGCAACTGCTGATGATATATAGCATTGCAAAATCTAGATTGGTAGTGATGAGGATGACAAAGACACATTATCAGATAAAATTAAATGTGCTCCACCTTAAGGAAAGAAAATCCTCAAATACTCGAATTCATTTACTTGATTAAGAATGGACAGTAAGGCAATTAAAAGTATAGATACAACAAAGAAAAACTCCTTAACATCAAAATAGCAAAGCTTGCCAACCTCGTTGCTCGGTCAAATTAGCACCATCTCCTAAGACTCTCAGCCTCTGCAGAATCTCATCAGCAAGCTTCCGCTTCACTGACTGTACTAACTCCAACTCACGCCTTTTACCGAGTGTATTTGCCCTCAATTTCTCGGCCTTCTTCCCATCAGATAAAAACAATTAAATTATCCTGAAAAACAAGCATAATCAGTCAAGGCGTTATTCCCTACCAATCTAAAAAGCTCCACAGGCCCTAATGCTCTCCGGACGACAGCCGACTCTTCAATCCTCTTAGCTTGATCTGTCGTATGCCAAATATCTGAAGCAGCGAAACAGTAAAGTCAGCAAGAAAAGGTCAAATTAGCTAAGCTCTCGGTAAAATACCAATAATCACGGGGGAACAAAAGGCCAGACAAATTTGAAATCTATGTATAGACCTACAAGCCTAAAACGAAAAAGATTTTCTGGTATGACAGGGAAGTGAGAACAGATCCTGACCGCTGGGATACGAAGAGAAGACAGAGATCGAGCGGATAACATAGATAGCCGCCAAAAGATTGAATAAACAAATCGAGATGGTCACCCTTTTATACGAGAAAACTCTTCCTCCCCTCGTCCACTCCAAGACGCTCTTTGCCATCGTCCACATCGCCGCAGCCGACGACTTTTCCTTTCACTCCAGCCGCCGCCAACGCCTCCAGTGACCACATGTCATCTCGGACAAAAAACCTCAAATTCGCACTTACGTTAACTGCGTCCTGGTGACGGGATATCAGAAGCAGAAGCTCCTACCCCAGTTGGCGCGTCACCTCTCCTCCACCAGTATTGTTCACCACCACTGCGATTGTGCAAATACGGTCCGCCGGAAAGAAATAATCCTTAAATATTTCCCCTGAAAAAGAAAAAAACTTCAAAAGGTAAGCCGGAATTTTTTTTTTTTTTTTAAGGGGTGAATGTGACCCGTCAGAATTCTCAAAAAAAAAAAAAAAAAAAAAAACCCGCGAAAAAAAAAAAAAATCAATCCGAGCAGCATTTATACAAGCACAATAAAGCAGTAATTGATATTAATGACATGCATAAAGAAAATGATTTGATAACCTTCTTGCATTTGCATGGACAAATAATAACACAAATAATTTCAGAAATACTTAAAAAAAAAATTTGTGTGTCAAAAATAATCTTATGAAGTCTTTTGATTTAGTCAAAAGGTGTTTAATTCTCATTAGATTTTTTTTAAAAAAAAGAGTCCCCTCAAATTTTCATTGAATGAATTTCAACTTTATTTTAAGTGTGCCTTTTTTCTGGGTGCTTAATGCAAAAATTCAATGTAAAATATCTTTGCCACCACCCTCCCCTCACTATTATTCGTGTTGCTTGGCGGGAAGGAATCATGGGAGAAGAAGAAGATAATGGAGAAGAGGATAGGAGAGAAAGAACAGAGGGAAAGCTCTCCGGGGCTTTTTCAACTAACACTCATGTTATGGATTTTGTTTCATTTAAAGTGACTATCCACTTACTCTCATTTTGATGATTTCTATTTCTAAGAATTTTTTTCTTTCATAAATTGATAAAAATATATTTGATCTTTGTCTTCTCTAACGATTTTACTTTAAATAAAAAATTATGGTGTAATCTTGGTTATAGCCTATAACTAATTGATAGAATTATGATGACTGACAGACGGTGATAACTCTCAATGATTTATTGAAAGTCACATGTGAACTGATTTAAGATTAATAAACATAATGATAAGATGGATATTGATGACCAACTAATCAATTATTGGGATTAAATTAAATACTGATGACCAACTTGTCGATAATTGGGATTGAAGATGTTGAAAAAACAATATTCAAGCTATATGCCTTATCTTACTATTCATGATTGTATTTATATGATACTATATGAATTGAGTGATATATAGAATTGAAGCAGGACTAATAGAAATTGCATTGATACTAATACAACATGAAATAGCATGTGACAGTGACATTGATTGATATTGATAGACATATTTATGTAGCATACTGACTTAGCATATTTATAGACAGTTATATATGGCATAATGATTAATATATGCCTGTAAATATAACTGATATACAATTAAGGCTTATTTAAAGGTACATCATCTATTATTGATTGATTTTCTTTTCACCAAAATTTTCATAGATTGATAGACTTTTTTTTATTATTTTATAATCTAGTTTTATAGATCATATTGGTTTAGCTTATTAATTGATATTAACTGAAACTGGAGTAGGCATAGTGATTATTATTAATTGATATTAACTAAAATTGGCTTGCAACCCTTAACAAGACTCTTATGCATGTCAAAAATATATTGGTGGCATTAATTTGGTGGTGTATTACAAGTTAGGAGTACAATAAGGGCTAGCCTAAGGTTTGGGCACTAAGCTAACTTCAATTGACTATATCTCCCAAAATACAGACCTAAAAACCATCAAATCAATTTCAAAAGTTAGATAAAAAAATTTCTAGTTGTTATCTAAAAGCTTTTAGAAATTTGGGAGGAGTCTAGATATTTTGTGGAGATTTTATAAGTGGTTGGATCAAGAAAAAAAAATCTAATATGATTGATTTGACTATCTAAAATTTAGGCATTTAGTGGCAAGGTTAGACTCATGGAAAATAAGTGAAATAGTTGGGGAATAATAAAAGGATGTCTTGAGATGTTTTCAAAAGTTTCTTTTATTTTTTGGAAGAGATTAATGCCACAAAATTCAAACTTGATCAACATTTTTTTAAAATAAATTTTAGTTATCTAAACTTGATCAACATCAGGTCAAATTCTAGCCCAAGTTTGGGCGAACATTGCAAGTGGACCTAAGTGGGGATTTTTGGAGGAAACATTTTTAGAATAAAAATTGGAGAATTCCACACACAAACTCCAAAAAGTATCAGAACAAAGTACAAAAAAAAAAAAATTCAATCAACTCAACAAAAATGACTAGGTGAGAGAGATCACCAAACCCCCTCCTATGGCAGACTACCAAGCAAATCCACCAGTTGGAGATCACTCCAAATTAAGTCATAAAAAATGCGTAAACACTTAATTCCATAACAAATGATGTTTAAATACAAAATGTAACTAGTGAAAATTATATTTGAAAAGAAGAGGGAAGGGGGAATGAGTTGGCCCATACTAGTAAGCACTATACAAATACTAAGTCTTACACACATACAATTACAATACAACATAAAATTTTTACATAATTAAGTAGAGATATAAATAAAACTTTCTAGTTTATAGACTTCAACTTGCTCCTGGTGATAGGTATACTTTTCTAGGGGTGTCAATATTTGATACGACCTGAAAATCCAACTCGAATCTAACCCAAAAATTTTGGGTTAGGGTCAACCCGAACCCAAAACGGGTCGAATTCGGGTTCAACATTTTGACCCGTTTCAAAAATTGGGTCAGGTTTGAGTTAACCCTTTGACCCGAATTAACCTGATTTTGACCCGAAAACCCGATTTTGACCCTGCAACCTGAGATTGACCCAATTTTGACCTGAAAATGAGGAGATAGACCCATTTTTTACCCGAAAAAGATGAGATATACCCGTTTTGACCCGAAAACTAGCAAGCTTTTTTGTTGAAAACGAGTCATTCGGGTTGTGTCGGGTTAACCCGGACCAAAAGCAGGTCGGATTCGGGTCAGAAAAATTGACCCGTTTTCAAAAACGGGTCGGGTTCAGGTTGACCCGAATAGTGCCGGGTCAGTTTCGGGTTCGACCCGAACTCGACCCATGACCTGAAATTGACACCCCTATAATTTTCTTAGTTGTATTTTTTTATGGATTAAGCTTTGATACTTGGACCCTTCTTGTCATCTGGTACTTTTGATGCTCTTGGCGCTACACAAATAAGCATCCTTCCTTTGGGAAGAATTTCAATTGATTTGATCTTATATTAACAATTAGCTATCCAGTTGGATGAGATAGCTACCCCTAACTCCATTTAGCATTGTGAAAATGGCCTCCAAAGTGCTTCTTCCATCTAATAAGATGTTCAAATTGTGATTTGAGTCTTATTGTTCTACTTGGTCATGCCAAGCTCAAAAAGTTCATCACTTTAGGAAATAACTTCAAAAAGCCACTTGGCTCATGAATAGTTGATCAAACAAATGTAGTTATTTTTAAAAGTAATATTAGAATGATGATGGGTTTAATGTATAGTACATTAAGTTTATGATTAAATACATATATATATATATATATATATATATATATAGAAGTAGATGTAAAATGATTTGTATTATAATAGTTGGAGGAGAATATTTTTTCTAAATTCATGAGTTTGAAACACATACTTGCTATTTATCGCTCAACATCCTAAAAAAATATAATATTGAAAGCCCAATTTAACGTAATAGTTGGAAACTTTAGTTTACATCAAAGATGTCATGTATTCGAAGCCTAGTGTATTTGAGTGAGTGCGTGTATAAGAATTTGTTTATAGCTATTATATTTTGGTAAATATAGTTGTAAAAAAAATTTTAATATAAAAAAAATCGATAAAAATGATGAAAAAAAGGTATAGTTAAAGAATCTTAGCAATGATTTGGAAAACAAGCATATGTAAAAAGATAGCCCCAAATGGACCTTTATATACAAAGGGCTTATTTGGTTGTTTGAAAAAAGAATGCAGTGTAAAAGGAATGTGGAGTAAAAAAATATAATTTTGAGTTGTTTAGATGATTGTAAAAGAAATGCATGAGATTTTTTTTGTTTGGTTTGAAATAAAAATGAATGCAATGTAAATTGCGAAAAAGGTTTTGGCCAGAGCAGCCTGCGAGTGACTAGCGGTGGTCTGGTGGCCGACTGTGGCGGAGTCCACAGCGGGGGTGGTGGCCGACGATATGATGTATTTGAAAACATTCAAATATGAGGAATTTCAAATGCATTGAATTTGGACTAGACAATGAATTCATTTTATTTTAAAATTTTACGCTGCATTTCTTTTAATTCAAATGAAACATCAATATTTTTAAAATCTCTTCATTTGAAATATTCTATACCCCTTTTGCAGCAAAATAAACAACCCCTAAAATAGTTGAAACATTTATATATGTGGTATCTTATATATTTGGTACTTTTGCACACTTTCAACTACTTTACTTACTTAATTTCAAACTAATTTTGTACGCTTGAGATCAAGGAGATAGAACTTAATGATTGTGAATTCTCATGCCAACCTCAAAAAAAGGATTGAATTAAGAAAATGAAAGATATAGGAGCATTCTCGAGAAGAATTTGGAGACAATGACCGTCAGTGTTATACGGACATCGAGCACACAAATAAGTCTGAATGTGGAATATGAATAAAAACAAGAGAAATTTACATGCATACAACTTTAAACATCTTATTTACATATATAATATCCAAAATTTTAATATTGCATGCATATCACACTATATTTTTTTAATAACAAATATACCACTTATATTTCTTTCCTACCACGCATGTATTTCATTTCTACCGCTCATATTTGATATGAAAATAAATTATGAGTGGTATGTATGTAATATTAAAGTTTTAGGTGTTAAATATGTAAATAGAATAATATTATATGTATGTAAATCTCCCCCTAAAAATAATTAAGATCGGCTTACGGTACTAAAGATTAATATCGAAACCAGAAGTTCATAGTAATTATTAAGAACACAGGCCCGGCCAGGCCTAGCCAACAAAATTCACTATATTTATTAGTGTCCAAAATACCAGTCAGGTCATCGGAACCCTAACTCCCAACTGCCACCAGAAGCCTCGCCCAACTATTTACCACCAATGATCGCCACAATTACAAGATGTTATCACGATGGAAGGCTCCGCAAGCCTTAGCCCCGTACGCCTTCGAATCTCTCCTAAGCTCCCTCTTAAGCTCGCCGTCAACCGCCGCCAGCGCCGCCGTTCACGTCCACTCACAGCTCCTCACCAACGGCCTCCTTCCCCCGTCCTCCACTTCCGGCTACTTCAACACCAAACTCCTCCAACTCTACGCAGACGGCGGCGACCTCCATTCCGCCCTCCACCTGTTCGACGTTTTGCCTCACCCAAACATTTTTGCTTGGACTCCAATAATCGCTTTCCTCTCCCGCTCCGGCGATCACCAACGATGCCTATCGACTTACTCCCGCATGCGCGCCGCCGGCATTGCCCCCGACGGTTACGTCCTCCCCGTCGCTCTCCGCTCATCCGGCTCCTCACTCTTCGCCGCCGCCGCCCTCCACTCTAACGCCGTCAAGTTCGCCGCAGCTGCCAATCTCCACGTAAGCAACGCCCTGATTACCGCCTACGCCGACTCCGGTGACGTCAGCTCCGCCGGTCGCGTGTTCGTCACAATGGACGGCCGCGATCTCCTCTCATGGAACTCCATGATCTCCGCCTTCGTGTCGACCGGGTCCACCGAACCCGCGTTAGACCTGCTCCGGTCCATGCCATCCGTTGGCTATGAGCCCGACATCGTGACGTGGAACACGATATTGGACGGCTACTGCCGCGTCGGACGCTGCGCGGAGGCCGTTGAGATTTTTAACCAGATGACAGAACCCAACGTAGTGTCCTACACGATCATAATCGTCGGTCACGCCCGTAGCGGGAATCATGAGGCTGCCTTGGAGATCTTCCGCCGAATGGCGAGCGGCGGCGCTGTTCCACCGGACCAGGATACGTTATCGTGCGTCGTGGCCTGCTGCCGCCACGTGGCGGCCGTCCGGGCTGGCCGAGAGGTCCACGCATCCGGGCTGAAGACGCTGGATCCTGCTGCGTTCTACTTCTCCGCAGGCGCGGCGTTGGTTGCTCTGTACGCGGGAAGCAAGTTAATCACAACGGCTAAACGTGTATTTGACTTGATTGTTCCAACAGACCTGATGAAACTGAACGCGCTGATCGCGGGGCTTACGCATGCTGGTATGACTCGGGAGGCGCTGCATCATTTTAGGGAGATGCAGTCGCGGGGCATTGGAACCGACCCAACCACGCTAGCGAGCGTGCTGCCGGCCTGCTCGATCATCCAAGGGAAGCAAATCCAAGCTCATGCTATTAGGAATTATTGCGAACTTGCCACCGAAGTCTACAACGCACTTATCAGCGCTTACGCCAGGAGCGGTTGCATTGCAGCCGCACGATCCGTGTTCTCCGCCGCTAGTCCCGCCGGCGATGTGGTGACCTGGAATGCGATGATCACGGCCTATGGATCCCACGGGCTTGGAGAGCTGGCCGTCGAATTGGCCTGGGAAATGATACGGGCGGGGCCTCGACCGAATATCATCACATTCACGGGTGTTTTAGCTGCGTGTAGCCATGCTGGCTTGGTCGACCAAGGGTTGGAGTGGTTTGACAGGTTTAGTATTGATATGGGCTTAGCTCCGGAAATGGCGCAGTATTCCTGTGTGGTGGACATGTTAGGTCGGGCCGGGAGGTTTGAGGAGGCAGTGGGATTTATACGGAGGATGCCTTATGGGGCGGAAGCAAGTATTTGGGGAGCAGTAATGGCGGCAAGCAGAGCACACCAGAATGTGGAGTTTGGGAAATTGGCATTTGACGAGCTGTTGAAGATTGAGCCAGAGAATGCAGGGAACTATGTGACAATGGCCGGCATGTATGTGAGGGCAGGGAGGTGGGAGGAGGCAAAGATGGTGAGGAGGAAGATGGAAAGGAGATGTGTGATCAAGCCTTCTGGGTACAGTTGGGTTGAGATGGAATAATCATCGTTTTCTGGTAACACACACACACATACATTATTTAATTGTTGTTGACGTGTAATGCTTTTTTATAAGCCCATTGCTTTTCGATTTTTAAAGGGATAATTAGGAATGTGTTTGTAGATATATAAAGAGTAAATTTATTATATCCGGTCATTTTAATGTGAACATATAATCTTATATTATTTATAGAGTTTGCATAATAATTGCATATTATAGCAACTCATTTTAATGCTACCTCCTCTTGTGCGAGGTATTAGTTTCAGTGATCAAATATCTTTCTTGATTTTCTTTTTAAGAAGATTCTTTGCTTTAGGCTTAAAATTTTCATAGAACTTTATTTACACATAATCAAAGGTATTTGGTTTTACATATACATTTGGTAATCTGAAACATTCTCTTCTTGTTTATCATCTTTTTAGATAAATAAACTAAATAGTTTATCTTTTAATTTTCTGTAGAAATCTCTTGGAAATGGTAGTGGGAAGTTTAAATTATGGTTATGGAGTTGGTGATTATATTCAATGGAGTTTTGAGGGTTGAAGCTGTGGTAATTCCCAAACTTGGTCATATTTGATTTGGTTTGGCTGATATGAAATGTGGGCTTATTTCTTTGAATTTTTCCATAGAGGTGGTTGGATGATAGTGAGAACAGGTAAATAAATATATTCAGTTATGATCTAGAGCATTTTATGTTTTTTCAAAGGTTTAAGGGGGTTTAATTTTGGTTTGAACATGTTTAAGGGCAGCCAATTTTGAAATCTATTGGGATCATAAATATCATCATAGATTGGGGTTTCTATCTTAACCTTTTTTTATTGGTTCATTAGTTTGGTCATGATTACTATGATGTTCATTTCTATTATAGTTTCTATAATGATCTCTCCTAAGAAGATGATCATTCTTAGGCTTTTTCAAAAATTCTTTTTCTAGTGTAGGCAACTAGCCCAGACAATTAAGAATGATTCTGTTAGATTAGTCCATTGGACCGGTTCAGCCGGTCCAACAAGGCCGGCTTACGCAAAACAGTCGGCCTTTCGGCCTCCGGTATGCAGGAGCTGACCGCCCAGATCTGATGGAGCATTTTGGGAAAGATTTTTTAGGGATTTGAAAGGGAATTTTGAATGTAGGAACTGTTTAGAGATTTCCTTTTGAATTGTATGTATTAAATAGTTTGTTTTCCTAGGGTTAGGGCATCTTGAATTTGACTGAAATTTGAGATCTCCTAGATTTAGGTTTTCTTTTGGACTCTAGCGGCGTCTAGAGATTTGGGAGAGATCGATCATCATCTCTAATAGAGGATCAATTGTATATTGTTGTTTTTCTTCTTCTACTGGTAAATTTCAAGTGTTTTCCCTCAAATTTTTCAAAAAAATTACTATTTTTCCTGTTTTCCATTAGAGTTGTGGACTGTTTTGCTGTTTTTACCAATAGTGTTAGGTTTTACTTGAAATCTTCAAGTACTTCCTATCAGATTTGTAGGATTGACTTGAATATGTCATATATCACTTATTTTGCAATAAAATATTAAATACCATAAAAGGTGTTAACTAGTTCCAAAAAATAGAGAAGAACCTTTTTATAGATTTCAAACTCATTTTAAATTCACTAATTTCAAATATTTTGTAATCATCAAATCCTTTTCGTGATGACGACTCAAACACATTTTTCCTTCTACGCTATTATTCCAAATTAATGTATCATCTGAATTTTCCATAGAAATATCTTGAAAATGGTAGAAGGAAGCTCAAATTGTAGTTTTGGAGTTGTTGGTATTATCTCAAAGAGTTTTGAGGGCTGAAGTGTAATTCTCGAGCTAAGTCAGATTTTACCTTGTTTGAATAATTTGTAATTTGGGTTTAATTCTTTGAATATTTTCAAAAAAGCTGATTGGATAATGGTGGGAATATGTAGATAAATATATTTAGTTATGATATGGAATATTTTTTTGATTTTTCAAAAATTTTAAGAGAGTTTAATGTGAGTTTGAACATGAATAGTTAGTGTGGAAACCTTGCTTGGCTGACAACCATAGTTAGGCTTTAGGGTTTTGGGAGATGGGTTTAATGTAGGAATCAAAGGCTTTAAACTCCAAGAATGTGATAGGGGAATGTTTCTATTAATGTTCTGAGGTATTTGGTAAGTTTTTATGGGGTGTGAGTTCGTGCAAATAGGATCGAACCAAGACTAGATCCTGATTCCTCCATGTTTGCGAAGAGCTCCTATGAAGATTTTGATGGGGTTTTAGTGTGGAATGGTTATGGAAGTGTGGATAAGGTATAGTAGAAGATTGCTACAATAAGAAATAAGTAGGGTTTAAGCATAGAAAGTAGGCTACTCACCAAAGTAGCAAGAGAAAGACTACCACCAAACAAGACTTTCTTGTATGGGCATCGACCACCAAGCTTTTTTAGTTAAGTAAAACACTCAAAATTCTTCAAAGCAACATCCCCATCTCATTCCAGCAAATAAATATTTGTAGTCTTTACACAAAATCACCACACAAACATGAAGAGGGGGAAAGGGAAGAGGGGCTTGCCCCATGCTTCGAATTTTAATAGAAGTTGTAACCAACATGAAAATACTTCCTTCAAATGGATTGATCGGCCAAGCAACATTGAAAAATGTTTTTTTTTTCTTTTAATTGTGGCATTTAAATATTTTTACCTAATTTAGTTTATATTTTTTTCCATAATTGAAAATTCAAACTTAAAAATTTCAAAATCCTAAATCTTGCATTATAAAATATCAAAATATGAACTTTAAATTTTATATTTTCAAAATTTTACATATCATCACAAGCTCAAATTTAAACATACAATTTTCCTTAGCAAAATTAAAACATAGAAATGACATATAAATGACAAATCCTAAATAATTGTCTTAATCTTACTTATTAATTTCTTTTAATATGCAAAGCTTTCTCTCACAGATGTTATCCTTCTCATCTGCAACTCTTTGTATCCCTCCACCTATCATGTCACCCCAAATCCATAAACAAAAATGTTTGTTCTGTGGTCAGACGTGTTGCCCATTCTTATCCACAAATGTTTGTATTATCCCTCTACCTATGTTGCATCTTTGTTCGAATTAGAATCAATTTTCTTGAAGCTGGAGAAGCAGATGGGAACTCTAATCACCATAAAGGAAGAAGATTCCCAAGTGAGTTGAAACACAAGTGAACAGTCCCTTGGAGTTAAAATGCCTTCCCAACTAAAATGCCAATTACAAAGACTCTTATATATGCTCACTATGCTCACATTTTAGATCCATGATTTGAAATCCAGCATGAACTTTTTCTAGGGAACTGGGGATCGTCTTCTCTGGTGACTTGTGAGTCTTGATGATGGTTTTATGGATCTGTCCTCTCTACCTACCTACTCACGCTTTAGAATTGCATGCCTTCCTGTTGTTTCATCTCCTCTCGTGCTTTTGCTTATGCATTTTTCTCCGACATTTTGATATACTTCTTTAATTTCAGAGAGTGTAGAGGGCAGAGATATATGAGCGCATTGGAGTCAACCAAATTATGCATAGCGATGATGTAAGGAATGTTGTCTACCATTGAGAGAGTGTCAAAATTCTGAGTTGACTTGGACATGCATTCAACTCATCGGCAATGTCAGCAATCCAATCTTTTGAAACCTCCGCATAAAAGCTTTGATCTTTTGACTCTTCTCAGTGACATGCCTCTCTCAGTAAATTGCATTCTTCCATCTTTCTTTAGGGTTGTATGCATGTCTCCCACTTTGTTTTTTGCATATGGAATTTGGTTATATAATATAATATAGTAATTAGAAGGTTGAAGCCTCTTGTATTTGCCACAAAATCAATCGCAAGTAGAGGACATTCAATTATTCTTCTTTATAATAAGATATTGATATTTCTAAGGGAATCTTTTGCAGAAAATAACATCCAATTCCTATGATTTACTTTTTCACATCTAATTTGTATATACGCAAAGTGATGCTTTCTTTGATAAGTTTTCGTGCGACATGATTTATTTTATGGAATATTTTTTTATTAAAAGCTATATACATAACCCTGAGGAATTTCTAACATCATTTTTTTTGTTAAGACAACATATCTCGCCGGAATCATCATCAACTAATTCGAGAAATAGTGATCAAAGATCTTAAATGGGAAATCACCCAACTCCAACAACGATTGTCAAGGCTCGAATGAAGGAAAGACTCAGTCCACCTAGCCCGGGACTCTGTTTCTTGGCTTGGTTCGTTTGTAGCCCTAGTTTTGATGTCAAGGCAATGGTATCTATGCCGTAATAACAACATTACTGAATGAAAATGCAAAAATGCAAACCCTTTGTAGACATAGGTAAATTTAGTAGATCCTAATGATAATAAAAAAGTAAGAGCCAAAATGTAGTCGAAAAGCATTAGCTTACTCATTACACAAATACTACCGTTATGGGAGCGAGCATGCTTAGAAAACTCATAGCCAAGCATCTCTTCATCAGTGTTATCATCTAATCCATGGTGGTGATTGCAAGCAACAATATTATTGGCGATGGAGACGCCAACATTATTAGCGATGACAAAGAAATTACTTTGTTAGAGAAAAGAATCTCATCCATTCCTGCATTTGCACTTTTTGATTGACAAATTCTATGCCTTTTATAGCTACATCGATCATGAGTTTGTGAGTTATTGAAATTATTTCTATCTACATATAATAGAGAGAATGCATTATACTTTTTGTATAATGAATTCTTATATATATATATATAATGAAGACAAATTCACACATGCATAAAACTCGAACCCAAAATATTTTGGTTGGTAGCCAGAGCTCTTATTCAATAGACCAAGATGAGCTGCATATTTATAGATATTTTGATTTATTATACTTTCCTAATTTTTTTTAGTGTTGTTGACAATTAGAGTAGGGGTGTCAATATTTGACACGACCCGAAATTTGACTAGAAAAATTTCAAGTTTAGATCAATCTTTTTTTCAAACGGGTCGGGTTTGAGTTAAAAAATGTGACCCATTTTGAAAATCAAGCCGTGGTCGGGTTGACTCGGAAATTCAAAATCAAGCCAAAGTTGACCAAAGTCTGAGCCTGCTAGCCTTCCATTAGGATTTAGAGTTGTGTCAGGTCAACTTGCTAATCCACGTGGGTCAGATCCTCATTGCAATCTGTTTAAAATCGGGTCAATTTAGATTTGACCCGAATCCGACCCGCAGACCCATTTTAACACCCCTAAATTAGAGAATAAATTCAAAATTTTAAGTTGACTGAAATTTTTTTTTTTTTTTTTTTTTTTTTTTTGGGATTTAGTTCATTTATTACTACAGACAGTTAAATGCTTTAAACATTTAATGGAAATCATATTTGTTATATTGTATGAGTAATGATATTTTATAACTCAATAATTTAACTCATAAGTGAAATACTTTGTTTTAATGTTTGTTTTTTTATACTGTTCATTTAATTTATTTCAAGTTTAGGGTTAATATTTTCAAGAAAAGAAAGGAGTCCGGTTGAGTAGATAGAGATAGTTGACTAGGTTGAGTTTAGTCAGATCGAGCCGAGTAATAGATATGTATTATTTTGTAGTTCAATTTATTTAATGTATTTTGATGTATTGGATTTCTTTTGTATTATTGTAGATCAATGTTTTGAAGGAAAATCGATCATTATCGATGGATTTTTCTGTAGGATAGCCACCAGAAATGTTTTCCAGCGGCATTTTCTGCCGGAAGAGTTTTCCGGCGGCGAATTTCTCAATGGAAAAATTTTCCTACACGGATTTTACTGGCGGTAAATTCCAATTCTGTCGGAAAATGATCAATTTCCATTGGAAAATTCTGACTGTAATATGTGATTTTTCTTTAATGTTATAGAAGTGAAGATTGAAGTCAAACTAGTTAAGGCTTTTTCAGACTGTAATCACAATTTATGTTTGGTCACTGCTTTTTGTTGCTTTTAAAAAAACTATACTATGAAGCAACTTTCTATAACAGCTTTAAAAAGCTATTTTCTCTATAATAGTTTTACATAATTGTAAAGTTGTCCAAATCAAAACTTAAATTAGGATCAATCTTTCTCTAAATCTCGGGACATGATGGTGTTCTATGATATATCTCTAGGTGAATCTCATTTATATCAAATAGTATTCAATTTGATTTTTAACTAAAAAATTTAAACTTATGAGTGAGAAAAAAATTTCATTGAGTTTGGCTTAAAAAATTGTAATTGTTCTAGTAACAATTTTTTAGTAATTTTTTTTTAACTTAAAATTTTTGTACTAAAAAACAGCTTTAGAAAAATAGTAACGAAGCTTTTCCAAATGAAGCCTATGAGTACTGCTCTCACATGTTCTTAAAAATATAGATATTAAAAAAAAAAAATTGCAAAAGTAATGAACAATTACAACTCTAATGAGGAATTGGTAGCACACTAGCACTATCTATGACTGACTTTAACTCAAATATTGAGAAGATTTTAAAATTAGATCAATCTTTAGCTCAAGCTCCTTTAGAAATAAAGAATGGATTTAAAAACTTATGTTTAATTCAAATTGAATTTGAATTGAACTAGGCATGAAAAGAATCAAATCAAATCTAAGTTGGTATGCAATTATTATTGAAATCAAAATGATTCCTAAACCCTAAATTAAAATAAATGAGTCAAATATACAACTCAAATGAGATGAGATCTAACTAACCCATTGCTAATGATGGCCCACTTGAGAGCAAATCAAAGGACTATTGCACCGATCGTGTGGCAAGATCAAAGAGGCTCTAACTCGAATATTTCGCAACCCCCGAATAAATTAGAAATAATGCTAATGATAAATTTGATTTTGACACATCAAACAAAACAAAACTCGAGATTTGATATTTTTAATAACATAATATGTTGAAAAAAGAAATTCATCTGATATTATAGTACAAAAAAATTATGTTATTTAGGCTTCATTTGAAATTATTTTTTATTTCTTTTTAAAACAATTTTCTAGTAAAAAAGTTCTTAAATAAAAAATTTTTTACTTAAAGACTATTTTAGAAAGTTATCTCAAACGAAACTTAAAATACTTCTCTCAATAAAATTTTCATCCAAATTATATGTACCCTCAAAATTTTAAAGGCAATTGTCAAAATCAACACATCAAATCATTCTAACTAGTAGAATGTAAATTAGTTTAATCAAATAATAAATTTTCAAGTTATTCTGAAGATTTGAATTTGATTGCATATTTAAATTCATAATATATATAATAATTAAAGAACTACATGAGACCAAAAATAAGCACACCACAGTTTTTATAAACTCATTGCTAAAAATTGCATGGTGGGCCTACTAAATAACTCCAACAACTAAAATTTAGAAATAGCAGATATAAAGATCTTCATCAACCAACTTAAAAAAAAAAAAATTCAAATCAAATCAAAGAGCAAACAAAACCTGAAATTCAAAGCTAAACCAATAGGAGTTGCTTGTTATGAAAACAGTATTTTTTTTAAAGTTATTAAAACAGTATAAACAAAGATACATACAAAAAATAGGGACTTAAGGAATGGGTCCGGAGCATAATAGAAAGACAACATCATCAATGCAAATAATGCAGTTAGGGTTTAATTTGATTGCAGCAACACAGAACAGTAGCGACGGAATCAGCCGTAATTTTGGTAAACTTATCAGTAAAAATGTAGAGATTTCACAAATATGTCGGGGATCGAAAGGGGCGGCGCCCTCTGGCGGGTTTCGCCCCTAGGGGGGTTGCTGCCCCCGCAACAAATTTTGATTGTAAGTTTATCGTTCCCTAACAATAACACTTCTACCCAACAAAAACTAATTTGCTATTACAGCACAGCTTAATGAAAATTTGTAAGGCCCTAAGCAATTGTGTAATTAAAATTTGTTGGAGAAGCAGAATGCAAAAGGGAAAACAGAGTACCCAATCATAAAACGCTCACACCTTCCACCGCGTGGGAGTGAGCGCTAGTCACTCTGTTCAGTTTAGAGAGAGAGAGAGAGACTCGCGTAAAAACTGGCACTTGGCAGAAAGTGAGGGAGCACAAAAGTATATCCTCTTTCTTCTCCGCCCCCACCTTTTTTCCTTTTTATAAAGATGTACAAAAAATAATATAAATTTGAATTGAAAAAAAATGAGGGGGCCACCCTCACCTTCCACGTGCGAGCCCGCCTCCTCACCTTCCAGGCCGGTTCCGCTTCGCGGTGAGCTCACCGGAGCGACCTACGATATCATGGTAAAAATGAAAAATCGTTGAAGAATAATGATAATACAAGCGGAATTACCACCGTCCGATGAATATCCTGCGGAGATGAAGCAGGAGACAGATTTATGCGCGAAGAAGGTGTGAAGCAGCGAAAATGGGAGTGGGTGGATTAGGGCGAGACATTTTTTTGTTAAAATGTTCCAGCACACTGTCTCTTCCCTCCTTCAATCGCACTGACGGACAACAGTAGCAGAAGAATGGAGGTTCTGAGTTCAGAAGCTTCTGCGGATATAATATCGTACACAGATCAGTTAAGAAGAGAAGAAAGAGACATCGAGAGTGAGTTGGATTCTTGAGGAAAAAGAAGAAAACAGAAAAGAAAAAAAAAAGAGTTATAAGGCGTTGGCTACTTCGCTGCTGTACATTAAATTCCCATTAAAATAGAAACAAAGTCGGGAAAGAAAAAAAAAGGGGGGGGCGAATTATATAATTGAGTTAATTTGTCTTCTAATTCAAGTCTGATTTTGATCTCCCGCTCCTCACTAGATTAACTTGTGTTCATTGATTTATTCGAACCCACTCGTATCGTCCCTCCAATGGAAGTTCATTGTCGATGTCGAAATTGTACCTGCGAATCACCAGCTAGCTATATTACACAGCGAACAATAAGGAGTGGGAATCGGGGGTGCTGGCGTTGAGGGAGATTACCTGGCAGCGAATTGCTGCTTTTCTGATTTTTCCGCGGCGGCAAAGAATTCTTCGAGCTCTGCGGCGGATGGCATCCTTAATTGTGGTGTAGATTGCATCCTTGATTCTCTTTCCGCTGTTGACTCCACCTCGCCAGAATATATTACTTGATTACTCGACGGAGAGATCTCACACCTGGAGAAGAATTTACCAGAAAAGAAAAAAAAAATAAACTAAATATCCAATTAATTAAAGAGATGATAATTAAACGCGGAATTGATATACCGCAAAGAGAAAACATTTGAAACAGGAAGGAGAGTAAAATTCAGAAACCTGTCTCGGTTACACTCGAAGTAACAAACGGAGCTACCTAGATCCCCTCGAGGCTGCAAGAGAATTTCGAAATTCGAGTGAGACCACAGACACGAAACATCATTACATTAAAAACGACTAAATTACTGTCTAAGTCCACCTTCTGACCACCAGAAGACGTATACCGGAGGGCGTCATCCTCCTCCACCCCCTCACATGACGCGATGCTCGAACACCGCGAGATCCGGCCCCTCTCCACGCTTCCCCGTCTCTTCGCATCGGAATTCCGCGCAGATTTAGAAAGCCGCTTCGTCATCACAAGACTCCTATTCCTCAGCTGCAAGTACGCCATCTCCAGCTCCCCTGCCCCCGATCTAGCCTCCGCCGTCTCCTCCGTCGCCTTCCTCCTCTTCGGACTCACTCCCCCGATCGCCGCCTCTTCCGGCACTGTCGCCGCCGCAGCCAGCGCCAACGTCCTCGCCCTGGTCCTCACCCCCACCACCTGTGTCACCTCCATCACCGTAACCTCCTCTATCCTTCTACACTTCCTCATGTACCTCCCCATCTCTCTCTCTCTCCCCCGCCTTGCAGAGTAGAGAGGCGTCAGATTAGATCAAGCCACACGCCGGTGATTCATTTAAAGGAGGGTTAACAGTTAAACTTTAACGCTTCACACTTTCCCGTTAACGGCGACGGAATTACATAACGGCGCCGTTTCCCAGATCTGGCCGTTGCGGATTAAGAGTAATGGCGCGCAAACCATAGAGCAACAAGTGGGCGATTGCCAGCCGGCCGTTGCACCGGTTACCGCCGGTGGCTGTTCACCTCAAAAAGGCCCAAACCCATTCCTTCCGGTCTCTGCCTGGTAGCTAGTTGCGTGTTGAACCCGTTTGGCAACGAGCGTAATAATTGTGCAGCATGGGAAATTACTCTACTACCCTAATTAACTCTGCCATCGGCGATCCCGGTAGTTCCGCATGGGGACCACCGTGGCCATTGGACGGACGGTCATGATGCGCTCATACGCCAGCCGCCATTATGAATGGTTGCGTACGAACTTAACGGTTAGAACCGATATGAGAGATACCTGGGATCATGCGGTCATGATGAAATAGGTACTTGTGAACTTCTGCGCGACTGTCATCTTTACCGTCCACGTGTATGCTTTTTTTTTTTGAGATATTTAGATGCATTAAATCAAATTCTTTTGGAAACAAATTTTTTTATTTTTTAAAATATTTTTTTAATACAAAAAAATCTTTAATGAAAATTTTTTCATTAGAAAGAAACAAAATAGTTATCTCAAATAAAAACTTCATTTGAGACAAATTTCTTACTATTTTTTAAGAAGCAGAAAAAAAGTGTCTCAAATGAAGAGAAATAATTTATTTGAGATAAAGGCTTCGTTTGGGACGGCTTTTTTATTGCTACTTAAAGCTGCTTTCTAGCACAAAAAAATTTAATTTTTATACTAAAAAGCTGCTTCAAGAATCAGGAAAATAGCTGTTCCAAACGAACCCAAAGACTTTTTAAAGCAGCTGTTTTAAGAAGCAGAAAAAAGTGTCTCGAATGAAGATAAAGACTTCGTTTGAGATTGCTTTCTTACATATTCTTAAAATAACTTTGTAGTTCCTAAATGAAGACAAAGATTTCATTTTTTGGACAGCTTTTTAAGTTTCTTTTAATTTCTTAAAGCAATTTTTTATACTAAAAAATTATTTTAAAAGACAGAGAGAAAGACGTCCCAAACAAAATAGAAATCTTAAAATCTCATATTGAAAGTTAAAACTCCCAACTAATAAGTAAAATGAGCTGCGCATGAGGGGTAAGAAGGTAATATTAACGGGCGGGAATGAAGGGGTGGAATAATTCAGAGAGAAGGAGCTGAAGCAATCATAACAAGGAATGGAGAGGGAATCCGCTTTATACTGGAAAATATTATTCTTTTGTTTTAGCTGATGGATGCATATAGGGATTGGACGGTTGGAGTCCAATTGCCATAAAAAGGACGGTTGATTGAGACGCTGGGAAGGATTTCAATTTTTTTAGATTTTTTTTTTTTCTAATTTAATATTGAGGGATTTTCTTTTAGAAATCTGTATTTTAATATATTTTTTCTCATTTCTCTCATGTTGAGAAATGCGTGTAAAATAAATATTTGATTGGATAAATTGCCTTTGATTTAACTTCATATATAAAGGAATTATAATATTTAAGGATTGGATGAATTTGCCTTTGAGTTAACTTCATATATAAAAGGAATTATAATATTTAAATAATTTTTATTATTTAAATATGTTGATACTCCGCTCTTTTTTCTCATTGTGATTTAAATTTGGTATCAAAACAATCAATCAATGGATTTGTATATGCAAAAGATAGTTGTTTTTATTGATTGCTTCAATTTTGATATACCAAGTGAGTGTCGAGGTGCTAGGGTAAGTTAGCGGGTTTTAAAAATATCTAAAATCTATTTAATAATTCATTTTCCCAGTTAGATAGCCCGAGAAGAAAGGGAAGAAAAAAGATGGAGGGAGAAAAGAGATGAGAGGTTTCGATTTGCAAAATTCAAAATTCCTTCGTTCAGCCAGCTGAGAAATCAACTGTACGATCTTAAGGAAAATTTATCTTAAAGATTTAAGGCTCTTTAAAAGATAAAATAGTGCCCAACTAAATGATAGATACTTGACTCAAGTCGTTAAGGCTTGGGCACTATACGATATAAATAATAGTAAGTCAATTGACTAATCGCATGGAATAAAATGGTGAGCTCATATTATTTTTTAGTCCAAAAAATATGGGTTCAAAAAAATAAGAAACATATGAGTCTGCAATAGCCTCTTGAGCTCAAACCCATAATTTTTTTTTTAATAAGCTGAGCTCGAGCTTGGTAAATGAGCTCGAGTCGAGCTCAAACACATTAAGAACTAGACAAGCTTAGCTCAATTAGGCAGATGCTTGACTCAACTCATTTGCACCTCTACTTCTCAACACTCATTGATGGACTCACCCAAGCATACTCATATGAACCAACTCGACACTACTGAATTTCCCAAGAGATAGATCGTAGAGAGTTGTTTAGTGTCTCCCCTCCAACCAATCAGGAGGCGATACATGTCTAGGACGGTCTATACTAAAAGTCATTTAAGCCAATATTTTTTTTACTATTTTTTACTTAGCATTTTCTAGAGCCGTTAGATCTCCATGAATAAATGGTAAAAACAAACACGTTTCATCTTTAAAAAAAAAAAAAAACAAAGTGAGACTTTGAGCCCCTTGAGCACTTCTCTATATATATTTTTCGTAGGTTGTTTTCTTTCTATTCTCACGCAAGTTCAAGGCCACCCCTCATGGAGTTCGCCTATTAATAATATCAGGTGTCATCTAAGGACAAATGTGACTCGAACAGATACTAGTTGAGATGAGCCAGCTAGACAATACTAATAGAGTTTTTATTTAACCTCATATCAAATGCTAGTTGGTCAACCAAACATAAAGATCTATTTTCAGACTGAAAATTACAAACCCTAATTCAAACTCGTCTCTAAAACAGAAAACTCTATCTCTAAAATCTAGCCATTGATTGTGATTGGAATATTCCATTCAAGTTTTTAAATTTAGTTCAATCATGAGTCCATCTAACTTAATTGAGAAAGATCTTTAAAACTATTATCAAAGTCTTTAAATTAAGTTATATTACAACACTCAAAATTGCCAAAAACAAATCTTGACTAATCAATAAACCCAACTATTTTGACAGTTTGCGCAATAATGAATATATTTTATATTAGCTGAGCAGTTTGCATGCACCCAAAAATATATATATTTATTGATATTGCTACAACTTTCATGTAGGGTTGACAGAGCTATTATTTAAGTGCTCTTTAAAATGCGAACCTTTTTGTCCCTTGCAGTTCCTGTTTTTTAATACTATTGGGGTTATTTGCAATATCCTTTTTGTCTAATGTATTTAAAATGTAATATTCTGAAGTACATGCAAAATAAATGCAGTCATTTTGTAGAATTTGTTATAATTGTGGTAGGGAAAGAAAACGAACTTGTAAATATGAGTTAAGGATGTGATATTAAAAAAAAAAAAGTAAAACAATCACTAGTTCATATATGAAATGAACTTTTGATTAGTCTTGTTGCGTCTTGAAATATTCGTGACGGCAGAGAAATATAAAGTTTAGCATCTCAGTTTCATACAAAGATCCAACAAACAAACAGATAAAAATAGAGCGATGCAGCGTTCATTTAAGACACCAATGTAACCATGTTATTACGTGAAAATTTCTAAGAATGTGAAAAATCATAGGCCAGTCAAAATTAATCAACTAGTGTTGGTGGTTGATTACAAATAATGCCCCCAAATATATATTGTAGAGATCACGTTACATAGTTGGATGACTATTCTCAAGAGAATGGTGGTCCATCCGTTTGATTGGTAGGGTCATAGTCATGAAACGAAGGTTGTAGGGACTGTAGTAGGCAAGTGACATAGATCAAAAGAACCATAGTTGGGCAACGATGGTTAAAGGGATCATAGCTAGTTGAGATGGTCTAAGGGACTATAGTTGGCGGAAGATAGATGTCGAAACGGTTATAGTCAGTGGGCAACTGTATTTTAGAGTGTACCATAGTTGGCGATCAAGCGACGGAGGTCGAAGGGATCAGATTCGGCTGGTGACAAAGATCAAAGTGGACCATAGTCGGCATGCGATAATGGTTGGAGGGACCGTAGTTAGCGGGCGAGAGAGGTTGAAAATATTGTAGTAGGCGGGCAAGAGAAATCCTTCAATTTTCTTCCATTCTTCTTATTTTCTCAAGCTTGCACCACCAGCCGGATCTCTTCCGGACTCCAACCACCGACCATCATCGGACTTTCGCCTATTCATTGGTTGTTGTTGGATATTTTCCATATGATCAATATTTTCATACATCTGCCCAACGGTTAATTAATATTGAATCTCTAGCCATCACAAGACATTGATGGAACACTATCTATTATTCAATCTGCATTAAGTGGACCAATCTTTGAAGGTTTGGAAATCTCTACAGTGTATTGTATTTTCCCTGATCTTAAGTTTAGGGACGAGTTGAAGTCATCCGACAAAGATCCTTCAAACTCCATTGCTCGCCAACTACGGTCCCTTTGACCATCGCCCGACTACGGTCCTTCTATCCTCTTTCGCACACCGACTACGGTTCCTCTTGCCTCCATTTCTCACCGACTACGATCCACTCTGACCACAGTTTCATGCTGACTACAATCAACTCTGGCCTCCATCGTTAGCCGACTAAAAGTCCACTCCGACCTCCATCTCCCTCCGACTATGGTCCCCTCTGACCTCCATAACCCGCCAACTACAGCCCACTCCGACAACCATCGCTCGCTGACAAACTAACACACACATATACAAGCTTCAAATAAAAGACCTCTTAATTGACATCCAAACTTTCAAACCAACACATTATAATGATCTACATCTTAGCTGATATCTCCGAGGAGCTCTTTATTATTGAATAACAAGAGAGAAATTTATAATTGTTTCAGACACAAAAGAAGAATTTTACATGATAAGTAAGAAAATAAAACTTTGGATTTATTTCTATTAG